AGGACTGTGAACTATTAGTATCCCCACAGACCTCTGTGCATTTAGAGTTAATGAAAGGGTTTGCACTTTCTCTCTCCCCGTCATGCTCTGTGTTGGGTGCTTTTAGTATCCATGGAGCTGGTCCAGGATGAAGAGCTGTGACATGTTTGTTGCTGCCACACTCTGTGCACTGTATGACAACTTCACAGTCTTTGGCCACATGCTCATTCGAAGAACAACATCTGAAGCAGATATTATGCTCCTTCAAAAACATTTTCCGTTCCTCAATGTTCTTAGCTCTAAAAGCTCTGCACCGTTTGAAAGGATGGGGTTTTTTGTGGATGGGGCATTGTTTGTTGATATCAGGCTTACTGTTCGGCGAATCGGAAGAGCTGGTTGTTTGTGCAATCTCAGTTTTGTGAGTAGAGATGAAGCTTTTCAGTGGTCCACCTCTTCTTACTGAGGTTTCAGGCTTTACAGGGGCAGTTGAAGATAAGTGGAATGCAAAACTTGGGTCGTTGCGCATATAGGACTCCTTACATAAAAAATCTGTGAAAAATGTGAATGGAGGAAATGGTACCTGGTACTGAAGCTTATATTGAGACCCTTGGGACATCCACTTTTCTTGGAGGTTAAGAGGAAGTTTGTTGACAATAGGTGCCACGCCCCTCGCTGTGTCCAGGAAAGAGAGCCCAGGTAAGTAGCCTCCAAGCTTTGCTGACTCCACTTCTATGAGCAGATCTGCAAGTTCTCTAAACTTTTGGGGTTCTCTATTGCTCATTTTAGGGAAACAATCCAGCTTATCAAAGAGTGTTTTCTCAATTATTTCAACACTCCCAAAGCTTTCTTCTTGACGGGACCATGCCATTCTACAACCGGCTGCTGGATCAGCGACGTGAACAGCTCTCACTCTTTTGACTTGTTCTGAGGATTGCGGTCCTAGCCACCTTGTCAGAAGATCAAGCTCCTCGCTTGGGGTGAGTGATAATCCTTCTAGAGCATTCATAAATGATGACTTCCAGGCTAAGTAGTTTTCCGGCCGATCGTCAAACTTACTAAGCCCTGAGTTCACAAGCTCACGGCGTACCAGGTATCTAGCTATTTCACTCATACCTGCATGGTTTGTTGAGGGTGGCTGTTGCGTTGAACCGCTGAGATAGGAAGTCTGAGGTTGTCTCACTTTCTCTGAAACCGGAATTTGTCCATAGGCTTTGTTATGAGACATTGATGTGTATGGCAGGTTGCCAGGAGTATGCTGGGGAAATGATAAGTGTGTACTGTGCATTCTAAGCTGGCTTATAGTGTATGGTCTAGGAGTTGAAATGTGGTTAAGTCTGTCAACGTTCTGTGTGGCATCGCTCGTGACAGCCGTGGTGGGAAGCACAGGCAAGATCATAAACTGTTCGTGATCACGGGAGTCAGGCTCTGCTTTAACATGAGGGAGACAGTGAAAACTTGATCCAGAAAGACTGTCCACATAGTCCTTTGTACGCTTTTCAATAGTCTCCTGTGGAAATTCTGTGACATCAGTCGCCATATTCATTTCTCCTGTCTCGATTTCTGATACAGCCGCTTCAAGAAACTCAGCCTCTGTTGCTGCCGCTGCAAATTCCTTTTTATGCTGTAGTGATAACAGTTCAGATTCCAGTTTAGCTCTTTCTAGCAGTACCTCAGCCTCTCTTTCCACAAAGTTTGTACGTGCTCTGACTGCTTCTGCTTTAGCTCGTGCTCTGGTTGCCGCCATACTCGCAGCGGACGATCTTGAGCTCTTGGAAGATGCAGATATCACCGATCTGGTTTCCAGTTGACTGAGTGAGGCATGTGATGTGGTCAGTTGTTGCTGTTGCTCTTCAGTTTTCTCTTTAACATCCATCTTGAGTCAACTGTGATGGGTGGAATAACTGGATAGCTGTCCTTCTCAGAAGTGTTGTCTTCAGCCCGTCGTGATGCTTTTTCACTATTCTGTCCTCTGCATGCGTGTGCGTTGGACATGCATATACAGATAGTTAAACACTATATAACGTGATGAAGAGGCTTCAATGACCACTCAGAGGATGTCAATTATCTTCTTTACTTGAGTGTAATCATGTTGTTTCTCTCTCAATGTTACATTATTTTGTGAAACTGAAAAGAAATACAAAAATGCTTATTTAAATATAAATAACCAAAATACAATTACTACTTACACAATATTTACATTAACATCGTTAAATCACAGTAATTGTTACGAGATCACATGGCGATCTTTTGAAATGTCCGTACAAAGCACGTGGAACCGCTAACGTGCGTCTAATATACCCATCTTAATAAGATACAGACACAAAGTATATAACATTACAATTATATGAAATAAACTTACAAGCAAAGCTTCTCTGGGGCTTTACACAACGACACTGGAATCCGGAGTAAACAGCACGCGATTTCTCTGCTGCGCAGAACTGGAAAATGGCTACTGAGGTTTGCGTGATTGTCGCTATGAAGCATAACAAATAAAGTTTTCTCAATGGTAGTTTAACTAAAACTATAGCAAACAGCGCCATCTAGTGGGGAAGAATGGCTAACTTTAGACATGACATAATAGAAATAAAACCATGTCTATCAATATCAATATCAATATCAACTTTATTTGTATAGCACACTTAAAACAACCAAGGTTGACCAAGGTGCTTCACAGGATAAAAATACAACAAGGCACACAGTAAAACTACAACCAAAAACATTATAATATACAGTATATGATATATAGTGAAATTAAGTTTAAAATTTGCCATGAAAGATAACAAACTTAGCTGAGAGGAAATGCCAGAGAAAAGAAATGTGTTTTTAACAGTGATTTAAAGCGTGCGAGAGTTGGGGCAGTTCTAATCTGGAGTGGCAGGTTGTTCCACAAGTTTGGGCCAGCTACACTGAAGGCTCTATCGCCTCTGGTTTTAAGTCTGCTTCTGGGCACATTCAGGAGGAGGAGATTGGTGGATCTCAACACTCTAGTTGGAGTGTGAACATTAAGAAGCTCTGTTAAATACAATGGAGCCAATCCATTTAGGCATTTAAAAGTTAAGAGTAAGATTTTAAATATCTATAATAGAAATATCTAAAATATGTCTATATTGTGAAGGGTAGTCAACTTTAGCATGGGTGTGTTCACTTATTCTAAGCACTGTGTGTGTGTGTGTGTGTGTGTGTGTGTGTGTATATATATATATATATATATATATATATATATATATATAAAATTAAATCGCAATTTTAACCAGAAAAATCTACAATGCATGCCCAAAGTCGTGCAGCCATATAGTTTCTCTTGATATCAGCATGTTCAAAGGTGTTTTTTTTTTTTTTTTTTTTTTTTTTATACACCTCCTCGCATAAAGCTTTCTCAAACAAAACACGTCATACACATTCTAAAATACTTTATTGACTTATCTGAATGAGTAGTCAGGATGATTCTCACATAGTTTTGGAGCAAATATTCTAGGCTATGTGATACAATTTTCAAAAGTCTTGTGAAGAAATAATCAATATGTGTTTTGTACACTGTTAAAAAAAGTTCCGTTTAAAAACGGAAAAAGTGCTGGTAATTAATTACCAGCACTTTTTCCGTTATTGTACGGGCACTTCCGTAAACCTTAAAACGGATATTTCCGTAGATTTATATGAGTTTTTCTGTACCATTGACGGACATTTCCGTCAAACCTAAAATGGAAAATTCCGTATTTTCCGTAAATTTTTGCGTTATTGTACGGACAATTCCGTAAACCCTATAACAGATATTTCCGTAGATTTACCTGACTTTTTCTTTACCATTTACGGACACTTCCATTAAACCTAAAATGGAATATTCCGTATTATTAAAGTACTCAATCCGTACCATTTACGGACACTTCAGTCATCCTAAAATGTTTAATTCCGTACAGTTCTCTATACCGTTTATCATCAATAAAGCACAAATGTAGAATCACAACAATTATTTATTTCCTTTAACAGTTGCCAGTGCTTTAAAGTGATTGCACTTTTTGTGGTGAATGAATTGCAATAATTACATTACAACCATTAAAACATTCAGAACACCACCTTCACATTCAGAGTAATTTTACATACATAAACCAGCTGTTCTCTCAAAGAACTACAGCCATGTCTTTTAACAGGGAGCTGCCAAATCTAGCAACTTTTTAGCACCCACAGGCTGACAGGCATTAATAACAAATGGATTTGTTAAAGACATTGACAAAATAAGATAATAAAACTGCCAGCATTGCTGTTGCTGTCTCACCTGTCAGTGCAAAATGAGGAGCCCCCTCCTGAATTGCAATATTTACATTACAACCATTAAAACATTCAGAACATCACCTTCACATTCAGATCAATTTTACATACATAAACCAGCTGTTCTCTCAAAGAACTACAGCCATGTCTTTTAACAGGGAGCTGCCAAATCTAGCAACTTTTTAGCACCCACAGGCTGACAGGCATTAATAACAAATGGATTTGTTAAAGACATTGACAAAATAAGATAATAAAACTGCCAGCATTGCTGTTGCTGTCTCACCTGTCAGTGCAAAATGAGGAGCCCCCTCCAGAAGGATGCAGAAACCTACACCTCCAACTCCACATATCACACCGACAGGCAGAGCTCTGCAACCAGTGTCTGACCTTTCTACAAAAACAATTAGAACATTAGAAGTATTACATTATACAACTTTTCTATAAAACATCTGAGCAGCAATAACATGTGCAACATGCCATAAATAGATTTCTGCAAAAAATAAAACTTACACCTCCAACTCCACATTGACAGGCAAAGCTCTACCTGGGATCCCCCTTAACATGGGGGATTTGAAACTGCAGCATGTGTGTTGTGGGCATCTAGTTAAAACATCTGAACTCACATAATACTGTAGAAATCTGTATTTCTATTCCCAAGCCCCATGTTTTTGGATTTGCCTGTGTGTGTGTGTGTGTGTGTGTGTGTGTGTGTGTGTACATTCAGTCCAAAAAGTTATTTTCTGAGCTTTGAGAACAGCTCAAATGGCCCACTCAGATTCCTTCTGACTGCATTCAAATTCCTTCAGCTGAGAAACCAGCTTGCACACCTGTGGAGGAATGAAGTGCCGTTTCTTCCCCTTCTTTTCTGCCTTGGAGCCTCGCTCAGGATTGATCCCAAAGAAAACTCTGAGAAAAAAATAATAATAATAGTGAGATGCAGACAAAGTTTGCACGTGTAGTGTGGCTTGACAGGAGTGGAGCAGTTCAATAAAATCATACATTTGTTTTCTTCAATATGCCCCTATGTGTGAACCTCTCTATCATTCTAGTTGACCATCTGTCTAGTACCCAATGTTGTTGTGGTGCTGTTGCCAGTGGCTAAGCTTATCTCTTCCTTTGTCTTTTCAAGACACATGCATTCACACTGCGCATATACAGATATGTTTGCAAGGGCGAGAAGTCTGCTTATCACCAACACATGACAGCATGCATCCTCAACATGTGTGCAGGGATATTATAAATGCACAGAACACAGAAGGGGATAGAAAACACAGTTGACATCGTCCTATCAAAAGGTGTAACAGCACATTTGAACACAGACTGTCATGGGGGTTTCTCAAACATGGAGTGGAGCAACTGTGACATTCAGTGCATGTTACACATCAAAATATTAACATTTGGGCATGAATCCAGGATGTTTTTTTTTTTTTTTAATGAATATGTTTAGTCTTTGCTTCTGGAGGGTCCCTGGAACAACATATTTTGAGGTTGGAGTCTGCAGCCAAATACATTTCAGTTTGTGTGTCTTTGACATGAAAAGGTTTGACCACCACTGACATAACCTGGTCTCAGGTGCTAATGGTTTTAAAGAGATAGCTCAAACGAATTTTGTGTCAGAAACCATTCTAAGAAAAATATGTTTTTGCTCCATTTCCCAACTAGAATCATGTTATGTTTGTTTTGTTTTTTATTTACTTGGGACACTATGTAAAGCAAAAAGCATGTTACCTGCCATTTAAAAAAATATGACACATTTATTCCAACAATAGTCTTCAACAGGGAGCTACGAAATCTACGAACAAATCCATATTCAGGGGGATCATAAGCCAATAACAGCTGATCTAAAAGCTCACAGCATGTGGCGACACATTTTGAGCTTGTACATCTCAGACAAAGGGGTTTGGTTAAGATTGACAAAAAGCAGGTCGGGTGCAGAAAGGCACGGCAAAGTCACATTTACAAAGTATTTACAAACAATGAGTGCTTACCTTTGCATGAATTCGAGAGTAAAAGCCATCTCCGGTGGGTATTGAACGTTGCAGACATAAAACATGGAGAAGACGTAGCTCAAGGCCACAATGGGAGAGGTGATGTGGTCATTGACAAGTAACCCATCAACAGCAAGAATTGCTGGTCACCTTAAACACAGATAAAAAAAAAATTCTGAGCACCATGTACTAAAAAAATAATCCTATATTTTAAGGCTAGCAAAACATTTCTTTAATAAAATACAACAAAACAACAGCTTATAAAACAGCTCGCTGAGATACAAAAAATATTTAACTACAAACCTCTGACTAGGATGCAAGGGGTCACTGGGAGTTCGACTTCAGGATCTGCAGAGATCTGTTTTGGTGACAGACATGACACATGAATTAATGTTTCCAGTGCACACAAACCTGCTGGCAAATTGACTATCTGCTAGTGTCTTCATCAGACAGAGGTAGCCATCAAGCACAGACATTAATGTAAATAGTTTATAGAGAGAGAGTTTATAGAGAATATCAGCAGCACAATTAGGGGAATCTATACTTCATACTGTGATTGGTTACTTGGTTCACCACTGGATGCAAATAATTATCTTGCACACAGTTTAAAATTTACAACATCTACCTCTTTTTTGTCGAAGAGTTTATAAGAGTCTTCCTTGAAGTAATTTGCAATGCCACAGATGAGCTGTATTGGACCTTCGCCCGTCTTCATCCCTTTGGAGTCAAGGAAGTCATTGATCCCCTTTTCTTTTTTGGAAAGTTCTTGTTCAAGGTTCAAGGTGTTAATTTTGTACAGGTAATAAGACTAACACTCATTTTCGTTTGGCCTCAGAAAAAATGCAGCTATGGAGAGAATTTAAAAAAAAAAAATTAATTGAATTATTTCATTTTCATTTGCAACCTGTTCTGTTCTTTTTGGATCTCAAATGTTTTGCTTTTTTGGTTGCCACTTCCTGATTTTTGGTCTCAAATCTATTCTATTTGATTGTTCATCCAATTTATTCTATTTGATTGGTTGCCAGTTTATCTTTTTTGTTCTCAACTCTCTTTTTGGTTGCAAATCTTTTTTTGATTGATTAATAATGACAAACTTCTCTCCATATGGAGCAGCACAGCACAATCATAATAATAACAGGAGTTTAGATGCATGATCAAACAGATGAGGAACTTCAAACAGGAACGGCCACTCGTCCTTTACAACGCCAATAGTGGTATCAGCATCGTTGAGGATTTCACGCTGAATGGGATAAGTTTCAGTCATCAATTTTCGAAAAGATGACTCCTAAAGATATGAGGCAGTTAGTCAAACAGTCGAACAGTTAGTCAAACTAACCAATTAAAATAATAAAACAGGGTATCAATTTCAATAGACTATGGGCGAAGTGATGTCAGACGATCTACAATTTCACAATGTGTCCAACAATTTCACGTGTCCTTACAACACAAGAAAATAATGGATGATTGCAGACCCACCTGAAGATCACGGGTTTGAAAGGCACGTTTCAAATCATCTCGTTTAGACAGCAGGTCTTCTCTACACACAGTCCCCTCAATGATTGGATCCCACGCCACACATCCATACAGATCTGAATTCCTGGGCCTTTTCTTTGTTGAATTTTCACCCCCTGCTCGCCTCTTCAGTGAGCTTTGTGGCCTCTTCATATTTTCAATTCTGTGTTCCAGCTGACGAAAGACAGTTTCAGAACCATCTTTTGCAAAAGGTTTGTTTCCAAACGGCTCTGTCAGCTTGAATGAGGCAGGATATTGTCCTACAATCATACTGGCGAGTTCCCTCAGCTTTTGTCTACCAGGTCTTCCTGGGTGTTTATGGAGGTAATCTTCAGCGACGATCCGAACCATCTCTCGTCTGTCTTTCCCCATTATGTACTTCTTTTCACGCAACTCATCCATGACTTTTGAGGGAAATTTGTGCCATGGTACAGAATATGTGTCTTGGGATGGGGAGTCGGCTGTCTCAGGTGGTGTTGAGGGCAGCTGAAACCTCTGTGGCTCAGGTGTTGATGAGGGGCCAGGCCTGGTGAACTGCGGTGGAGCTTGTGAATCTATGGATGACATGACACACATCTCCATAAATTAAACACATCACGATTGTTACGAATCAATTAATACATTGTGCCTCAATGTCCAGTTTGGGTCCACCAGGAATACAAATGGACCTAATTACGAAAACCAATTATAGGGTAGTTATTGCCATGTACAGCTGATGGCAACCTTTTTTTTTTGCATTTTTTGAATAAACCTTTGTAGTCTTAGAAAACTTGCATTAAAACAGAGGGGCAAAAACTCACCTGCTTCCAATGCTTTGACAGCTCTGACAAATCTTTTGCACTGAATGAATGGCAGAGTGTCTTTAATGTCCTCCGGGTCCACAAGGCTCAGGTCATCTACAGAGAGAACTCCTAATTCCTCCAGTTTAGCCATGAGTGTATCCATCTGAACGCTACTGAGCGATGGCATTGCTTTCTTGACATAGTTTTTCACAAGTTCCATGTTGGTGTGTGTTTAAAGGGACACTCCACCCATTTGCATTAAGCTTTCCATTGTTAGAAACCCAGTCATACTATTGAATGGTCGTGCAAAACTCTCTCATTTTCCCCTGAGACAAGAGAAATCCACTATTTACCTTTTTCACTTCCTCCTACAATGACGCAAAAATCGTCATTTTACGTCATTGTAGGAGGAAGTGTAAGAGGGGGGGATTTCTGTAAAGACTACAAGCACAAGTTCCCACCCTTTCAAACCCGCCCATAGGGGGTTGGACCTAATGCGCTAACAGAGCTATCACAGATCAGTGGGTGGGACTTCCCTTGCAGATACTGAAATCAATATCAGCCATCTTGTTTATAAGCTAAGCTAACAAGCGCTGTGGATATAGGAAGTTACGACAATGACGGAGGAAACTAAACATGATATGGAAGAAGAGGATTTTGAAATTCTGCTGCTCGAATCCGATGTTCGTGGCTATTTTTACGAGCCGCAATATCGAAGAGCAGCTGAGGCTGATGGAGGAACAGGAGGCGGACGAGGAGCCCAGACTGGCTCGAGCTGGGCGGACTGCTGGTGCCTGTGCTCTCGCTGTGCGCTACGGACACAGATAGAGTCCGTCTGCTGCAGAGAATTTCAACGATGGCAATTTCTCCTGGACGAAATCTCTGAATCAGACGAGCACATGGACGTTTGTGTTGTGATGTGAACCATCCTAGTTTCGCCTGACTGAACATCCAGGTATAATGCAATAATTCACCATATAGAAAGAAATACAAACGAGGAGTAATTCGCTAATGAGTTTGCCAATGTAACGGGGTTCGTTGTTGTGAGAGATATCTCCTCCGTGAGAGATATGAGACCGCTGCGTCTCACAGGTGTCATTCATTATCACTCGCGCCGTCCTCTGACGTCCCTCGTCCTGCTCGCCACAGCCAACTAACTAGACATTTTGTGTGAAATGAATTTCAAACTCTTTTGACAGCTAGCCTTGTAGATGGAAGAGTGATTTCTCTGATGTTTGCGCTGTTCTGGATTAGTGGGAGTGGCTTGCGGAGCTGTGCAATGTGGTGCATTGCGGGAGTTGTTGTCTTAAATACAAATGTGCCATAAAGTTATTTTCTGTCTTTTCTCGGTCAAGAGGGCACCAAATTCAAAAATTCTTTTACATTTCAACTACATATATGACCCACTTTCAATAAAGATTAATGTTGAAATGGGTGGAGTGACCCTTTAAGAGGAATGAGCCACCGAGTACCTCTCTGGTAAGAATAAAGGGGATGATAATCACCAAATTTGTTCAAATCATGGCAACTGAACAGGTCAAAAGCATTTTCATCAAGTTCATAGAGTCCAAGCTCAGGTACCCAGCTGGCAGTTTTCCCTCGAAGCAAAAGTATGACAGTAGTTTCATTTTTTACAAAAATGCTTGCTATTTGTCCTAACTGCAGTTGCCCTTTGGCATAGCTCAGTAAGACCAGCATTCCATTTGCATATGTAGTGCCTTTAACCTGCACTCTCTCTGTGACAACTGAGTTACTTGAGTTCAAATCAAATTCTTCAACCACTGTCTTTATGCTCTGGTCATAGAGCTCTGGATAGAACCGTGTTGAGTCTGAGACATGAACCTGGGGACTAAACAAGGTACCACAAGACTGATAAGCCTGAAGCAACTGGTGCCGTTCAGCCAGAGACTTGGTTACATTTTTGAAGTTCTTACTTGCCCTAATGCACCTTTTTAAATAAGAATGTTTTGATTCAAAGCGCATTGTCCAAGTATATATGAGTGGGCCAAATTGTAAAGTCAGGTGTGCATAGTGAAGCAGATAGTGGTGTTTCGGTCTAAGTTGAACTCTTGGAAATAACTCTTGCCTCAATTCCACATACAGTTCAATCAGTCCCTTCATGAAAGCAATCTGCGACTCTGAGAGCCGAGGTGCACAGACAAATTCAACAAGCTCCCTCAGAAGTAGTACCAGTCCCCATACTTCATTATCAGCATCTTCAATTGTGTCATGCACCAAAACAGGCAAGAATCTCAAAAGCCACCTGTTTGGGCTGCATGCCCTCCAAGCCTTGCTCCTGTAGTGGGAATAGTGTTTAGCTTGTCGCTGCTTTCACCAGGAAATGATTTGATTCTTTCATTAAGAACCTCATAACTGAACCACTTTTGTGTTCTGATTAAGAACTGCAAAAACAATGCCAAATCATAATCTACTACCCCCTCAAACAGATCATGAGCTAAACAAGCTGGTAAGCCTGGCTGACACACATGAAAGTTGGACAGTTTGTTGAAAACACTGTCACATTTAACACCGTGATGATTGTGTACTTCATCGTTACTTTCCAGAAACCGCACAGTCTCATTATGATCAGCTGGATTTCTATGAGTGAAAACTGTGAGAGGGTTCGACTGAAATTCACTTTTTGTTGCCAAACAGTATCTGCAGAAATATTGAGCTGTGCTGAAATTTTCTGTAAAGCCACCAATCATATGGGAGCCCAGATTATCTCCCATTATGCACGCAACAGTGCCTTTATATATCTTTCCATTGAAAGATATGCCCCTTTCCTCCAGCTCACACAAGTCTGACACTAGCTTATTAAAAATCTTATCCATTCCAAAGTATATGCAATCTTTCTCTACAGAGTAATGCCAACTGTATCTGATCAACAGTTGATCGTTGGTGTGGATGAAAATTTCCAAGTGTGAAGTAAACAGCCAATACTTTATGCTTTGTCTTGGCAGATCCGAGTGGATTAGCCACCTCAAAAGCATCCTGAAAGAGCATTATCTTTAAACTGTCTGGGTCTGAGGAAAACATGGCATTGGATTTGATGGCCCACCCATCATTTACATCACAGAGTACATCATCTTCAGAATTTGAACTAGGACTGTGCTGATCTAAACCTTGCTGTTTCAGAATTACTTTGAGGGTTTCCAGTATTGGGATGTAATGATAGTGCCTCGTCTGGCCACTGCGATTGCGTCCAAGAAAGACTTCAACAGGTTCAACATAGTCATAGTGTGACTTGTAATATTTCAGCCTCTTGTGTTGTGTAGTTAAATGACCCTTTTCATGTAATGCCTTGTGCATAGGGCTCTGCTCGTATACACTATTCCCAAGATATGTTACAGTCTCCTTTGGAACACCATACTGCCCCAGTTCACGGGCTAGTGCATCCACAGTATATTCCTGTTGAATATCACTTATAGTTCTCATTTCATTAGCTATTTCTGTTATTGTGGAGGCTGGGACCAAATATTTTGCCTGTAAACCCAAGTAAAACTGAGCAAGACTCTCTGTGAAGTTGTCTTTCACTTGATCACTGCAGAAATTATCACTTTGTTCTGCATCAATGTTAAAACTTTCAGGTTCTTCAAGTTCTACAGGTTCTACATGTGATCCTTCACCTTGGAAAGACCGTTCTGTTAGTTCACATATATGAACTGGGGCTATCTTGGTAACATCCCACCCTTTATGGTATCTAGAAATATGCGTTAAAAAGGATGACTTTACATTGAATGTCTTAGAACATCCATCAAAGGGACATGTTACAGTCAAACCCTCATCTATGTGACCACTCAAATGACACTTTAAAGTTTTAAGATCAGCATATTCACTGCTGCAAAAATTAAACGAGCACTTTAACTGTACAGACACATTGCGGTTCCATGTTTGTGTGCTCCTACTGTCTACATGTGCTCGTGAAATATGCACAGCAAGGCTACTGTATGTGTTAAGCTTCCTTCTGCAATCCCTATGGCCACATAAAAAAAATACATTATTATTATTTCTGTGTGTTCGGCAGTGTTTCAAGTAATCAGTCGAAGACCGGGCGTTAAAGCCACAAATGTTACAAGTCAACATGTTTAAGAGATTGAATTTGCCAAGTGAAGGATAGACATAATCAATATGAAAACAATAAATTCAGATCAGCACAGTGAAGCACATTCACTTTTCAGATACCTTCAAATAAGCAATCTGCTTTGGGCTGCATGGGCCACACTCTTTGGGCTGCAATGTTTTCCTCACTGCTTTTTTCCCTTTAGGGAATGGAAAGTCTTATAATGCACAGGGGAAATCTGATTCTACTTAATCATCACCCCTTTTAATTATTGCCATTTTCAGTAATATGGTAACGTAACACAGCGAGCTATAACAATACACACACATGTGGCTAATTTACACACACACACGCGGGCGGGCGCGCGCGCGTCCAACTTATGTGCTAACTTTACACACACACGCGGGCGGGCGCGCGCGCGTCCAACTTATGTGCTAACTTTAGCTAGGCAAACGGGCCGTCGTCCACCCACGCTTCAAAATAACGCAAAACGCAGATTCAAATGTTACCATGAAACACACACGGCTACCAACTGACTATCGAGACCAAATTTCATGTACGAGGAACAAAAAATGGCTTTTGACGTACTTACTAAGTGCAGGCGGCGGGCTATTGCTAACGCAGCTAGCAGCAAACGTCCACTCACGCTTCAAAAAGGTCCCGTGCTCAGCTGCGAGCCACACTACCCTGTAACGTTATAGCTCCGGTTGGAATGCTGCTAAAAACCTAGAAACCTTCGAGACTAAATTAATTTGTCCTACATTTCATGGGGGGAAAGGCGACTGTCTGGCGAGGGGTGCCAGAACAGAACGCCCGCCATGCAGACGTAAATGAACAGAAAACGTGCTTATCATGTGTTTAACATGTTTAACTCAATATATTTTGTTTGAGAGGTGGCACTCCATTCCTATTCTCATTACACACAACCAACCTGTTTCCAACTTTCCTTGTGACTCGCAGAACTTCAGGCTGGCACTGACCGCACTGAGTGTAATGGCGTCGGCAAATTCTGGCTGGGGGAGAAAATTCTACCCATACTGCCTTGCGCAACAGCAAACTTTCCGTATTTCGCAAAACGGAGCGAATCCATAGCAAATCCACGGTAAAGGGACCCCTAAATTTACGGATTTTTTTAACAGTGTAGCCTTATTTCAGAAACTTTAATTTTTAGT